GTCTTGCGATTGTTACACAACTTATGTTTTGTATTACAACGGGAACCTATGAACTTACTGAAGTTTTCAGTTCGTACAAAAGAACTAAAACAAAAAATTAAATTACAACTCGAACGTGGAGAGATTTGAGCCGAGGCGATTGAAATCTATCCGCAAGACAAATACGCCCCGTGTAGTGCTGACGGGTCAGTGCGTAATGTCCCCAAAGATACAACGACTTTAACACTCGGAAGCTGTAGCACACCAGCCTTCAGAGTCCAGTCGAACAAGAATGAAGTCGAGAACCGAGAACTATGATATGATGCGTGAGGCTTTGAGATTATCAGATTGCATGAAAAATGTTGTGTCTTTTCTGCAACTCAATGTCCTATTTATAGGACTTCCACCTCTGAGGGAGAACCAAGGGTTACACCAGCCACTTAAGGCTGAGATAAATGACACCATTATTCTCAAAACGTTTCAGGTGTTAAAACACCATTAACCAGGTGTTAAGGCCATTAACATCCACCTGAACAGTCACTTTCTACATGAAAGGTCACATGTCCATGTTCATTGTACCTGAAGAGGTTTAACTCGGGTTGGGTCAAAACCGAGTCCAAATCCAACTAGAATTGGATTTTTCATTTGGGCCTATAGTTGCAAATAAATTTGCAGCAAAAAGATATATAGTGATTGGGCCCAAGCCCCAAGCGCCCAAGGCCGCCCAAGTCCAGCCCAAAGTCCAATTACCAAGTCCCAAGTCCCAAGTCCGGGCCCGGGCCGGCCGGCGGGCGCACACGCGCGCGTGTGGCCAAAAACAACACCAACACTTGGTGCATAGCTTTGTGCTTGTTGTAACCTCTCCAACTCTCTTTATTATAATAAAGAGAGTTAAACTCATTTAAGAGTCCAATGTGGGAGTGACTCTTGACCCTTCAAATCTCACAACCAATGTTTTACGTGTCCTTTTATGGCTAACTTTAACAATTTATTTCTCACTCATCGAAAATCAGTTTTGAGAAAATAAACATACCACGAGTATCTACTCGGAACGTAGAATTTTTCTACA